GATGGCGAATACATGTGGTGCTTGTTTTTCCATTCTTGTGATACCTCACTTCAATGGATGGGCCCAAACTCTATCCAGGATAATATAAGAGGTGCTAGTTCACCTTTGTTTTTTGGAGTTGAGTAGTATTTCATGGTATACATATACCACATTTTATTAATCCGCTCATGTAGTGATGGGCACTTGGGTTGTTTCCACATCTTTGCAATTGTGAATTGTGCTGCCATAAACATTCAATTGCAGATGTCTTTATTATAGAATGTCTTTTTTCCTTTGGGTAGATGCCTACTAGTGGGATTGCTGGATCAAATGGTATTTCTATTTTTAGCTCCTTGAGGTATCTCCAAATTACTTTCCACAGGGGTTGAACTACTTTGCATCCCCACCAGCAATGTAAGAGTGTTCCTACCTTTCCACATCCAGGCCAGTATTTGTTGTTTTGGGACTTTTTGTTAGCGACCATTCTCACTGGAGTTAGGTGATATCTCATTGTGGTTTTGATTTGCATTTCCCTAATGATTAGAGATGTTGAACACTTTTTCATGTCTGCTGGCCATTATCCTATTTTCTTTGAAAAGTTCCTGTCCTTTGCCCATTTATTTATGGGGTGTTTTGATTTTTTTGTTAATTTTCTTAAATTCTATATAGATTTTTGTTATCAGCCCTTTATTGGATGTATAGAAAGCAAATATTTTCTCCCATTCTATAGGTTGTCTATTCACTCTAATGATAGTTTCCTTGGCTGTGCAGAAGCTTTTTAATTTGATCGGGTCCCATTTGTTTATTTTTGTTGCTGCTGTGATTGCCTTTGGGTGTGGGGCGCGGTGTCAACGCCATTACAAGTTGGCGCCTGTTTCCGGCTTTGCCTAGAGCAGCTAACAAGTTCAGCGCATGCATAATTGTCGGTTGCCCTGTGGCGCGAGAATGCAAACAAAGGGTCCTGATATGGGCTAATGCTTTGGTGGCTCGACAGTTGAGCGGCCTAACGCAGCTTAGGGGTTGTACTTCTGGGGTATATAGCAGCTTGCACGCTGCCGGGCTGGGTCTTTCGCATCATGTAAGTCTAAAGGGAACCCCATTAAAGCACGGTCAGAAGAACTCCTGTTGCCGCGTCTTCCTTGCTGGCGAGGCGGGCGCGACATTTGGGGATCTTCTTCATAAATTCTTTGCCTAGGCCGATGTCTGTAAGAGTTTTCCCAACATTTTCTTTTAGAATTCTTAAGGTTTAAAACCTTAGCTTTAAGTTTGTTATCCATCATGAATTGATTTTTGTGAGAAGTGCGAGGTGAGGATCCAGTTTCAATCTTCTGCATGTGGTTATTCAGTTTTTCTGGCACCATTTATTGAATAGGGATTCTTTTCCCCAATGCATATTTTTGTCTGCTTTGTCAAAGATTAGATGACAATATGAGGACTTCAAATTTTACTACAAGGCTTTAGTAACCAAAACAGTAAGTTATTGGCACAAGAACAGAAATATACACCTTTGGAATAGGATGGGGAGCCCGGATATAAAACCATCCTCATATTGTCATCTGTTATTGATTTTTGTATGGTCAGAGAAAATACTTTATATGGTTTCCGTCCTTTTAAATTGTTGAGGTTTGTTTCAAGCAGTATATGATCTATTTTGTTGAATATTCTAAGTGCGCTTAAAAAGAATATATATTTTCCTGTTGATTCATGAAGTGTTCAACAGATGTCAACTAGGGCAAATTATTTGATAGTAATATTTGGGTGTTCTGTATTTTTGCTATTTTTTTTTACTTGTTTTATTGATTACTAAGAAAGGAACATCAAAGTGTCCAAGTATAATTGTGGACTCATCTAGTTTTCCTTTCTGCTCTATCTGCTTTTGCTTCATGTATTTTGAAACTTGCTTTAAGTTATATGCACATTTAGAATTTTTATGTATTTTTGGTGAATCAGCCCATTTATAACTACATAATTTCCTTCTTTATCATGGATATTTCCTCTTGTTCCAAAGTCTACTTTTTCTAATATTAATGTAGCCACGCCAGCTTTCTTTTGATTCAAGTTTACATGCTATATCTTTTATTACTCTTTCACTTTCAATCTACCTATATCCTTATATTTAATGTGGGCTTCTTGTAAACAGCATATAAATGGGTCTTTAAAAAATTCAAACTGGATTGATAGTTCTTTCTTTCAGCATTTTAAAAAATACTGAAATATAGTTCCAGTCTCTTCTGGCTTGTATGGTTTTTATTGAAAAATCTGCAGTCACCCAGATCATTTCCACTATATGTAATGTGTTGATTTTCTCTGGCTCCTTTCAAGATTTTTTTCTTTATATTTGATTTTCATCAGTTTAATTGCAATGTGTCTGGTAATGGTTTTATTTGAATCTATCCTCCATAGGGTTCACTGACCTTCCTGAATCTATAAATTTATGTGTTTCATCAAATTTGGGAAGTTTTCAATTATTATCTCTTTAAATATTCTTTCCTCCCTCCCTCTACATTCTTTTTCCCACAAAGTCACCTCTTCCTGTTGCTCTGGACAGGGACAGAAGAGAGATTTCTCTTGGAGCTTTTTCTGTTGATGCCCATTGTGCAGTTTTGGAAATCAGTCTGTCCTGGAGTATAAGCCAGGAGACATGGGAGGGGAAAAATGAAGAAACGTTCACCGCTGTTGTTAGCTGTTCGTTGAGTTTTGATTTCCCTCTTGAATTTGCCTGCTATAATTTATATTTCAGAGTCCTCATACATTTGCATCATGGTTCTGTCCAGGGTTTTGCATTATAATCAGTGAGAGAAATAAGGTGGAATGTGCTTACTTCATCAAGCCAGAGCCAGAAGCCACAAGAGTTACCTTTCTTCAGTGAAGCTGAAAAGACTAAACGTCAACTTCTATGGTGTGGAGATGAGGGAATAGGCCTATTAATTTGATTAGAGATTCTTTTAGGGTCTGTGAATGGACACAGGAAGCTGTAAAGTGTTAGTGCCTTTCAGTAAAGCAGTAGAGCCTGTGTAGCAAGCTTGTGGGAATGTCTGTCTCTCTGACTCACCACTGATTATCTCTTTATATCTGAAAAACAATTTTATACATGAACAATTCACTTCAGTGAATATTAGAATATTAAGAAGCATTTGAATTGAGAGAATGCATTTGATGTAATACAAAGTGGAAAAAATAGAAGATAAGAGACAAGATGATTATAATTGTGTTTTATGTATTCTGTGATTACAACTGGGTAAATAATAGGCCAAAAATTGACAGAGTTGTATAAATATTAAAATGATAGTGTTAGGAGGCATGAAGCATATGAGATTATGGATGTCTTATTGTTTCATTTTTCAAAAATTCCCTTAATGTGGCTGCTATGGTTAGAATGTCCTCTCCAAAATTCATGTTGAAACTTAGTATTCACTGTGGCAGTATTAAGAGGTGGGGTCTTTAAGAAGTAGTTGAGTCATGAGGGCTTTGGTTACATGAATAAATTAATCTTTCATAGAGTAATAGATTAATGGGTTAAAGAATTCATGAGTTATCATGGGAGAGGGACTGGTGGCTTCATGGAAAGAGGAAGAGAGACCTGAGCTAGCATGTTCAGCTCTGTCGCCACGGGATACCCTGTGCCACCTTGGGACTCTGCGGAGAGTCCCCGCCAGCAAGAAGGCTCTGACCAGAGGTGCCCCTCAACCTTGGACTTCTCAGCCTCCATGACGGTAAGAAATAAGTTCCTTTTCTTCACAAATTACCTAGTTTCAGATATTCTGTTATAAGCTACAGAAAACGAACCGAGACAGTGGCTTTACAGATGTAATAATATGTAAGAATAATTCCTGGCCTATTGCCTGATAGTTATATTTTTCCTTGTTCTGTTTCTGTTACTTGTTTGGGAAGGCTTTCCTGATACCCATCTCTCACTCTAGCTGTTCCTGCTGTACGTTCCCGTGTCACTGTTTCCTCCCACCCCAACACGGATGGCTGTCAATGCTTCGATTTTCCATCTTCTCTGGCAGATGTAGGCTTGTCTGCAGGCAACAGCAGTAAATTTCTTGCTTACTGATATATCTTTAGTGCCTAACGAGTGCCTGCTCCATGGTAGGTACCTAGTAAATATTTATGGATTAAATATTGAAGTCTCCAAGTGAAATAGAACAACCAATGGCTAGGATTTCTATTTTACACTTTATTTGACTCTTTTGTTCTCAGGTACTTTTTGTACCCACACATCTCTTACTCTCCATGTTGACAAACACTGTCCACATTCTCCAGTCAAACCAAAGCTGGATGTCATGGTGCACCAAGTTGGCAACTTGCTAAAGGAGAGGCCCAGTGATGAAAGAATATTCAGCAGGAAAGGCAAATCAGGACTCAGGTTTGGGCTAAGGCTGCCTTTGTCAAGAATGATTAGAGAAAACTCAAGGGATTAGGGCTGAAAGGACACCAGTGGTGTTGCTAGGCCCAGAGTCGTTCCTCTCTGTCCCCACTTGACATACTAAATTCAAACACACCAATGCTAATTCAAGTGTATTTTCATTTACTTATGGGCTCTTTGAATGTATTTCCTTTTGGAGGCAAGTATAGGGAATCACCCAAATCATAGGCCATACATTACAATGGCAGGCTGCACATTGCTCCAACCAAAACAACTCTAGCATGTAAGGATTAGAAAAGCCCTTAAACATATCTGTTCCAAACACCTTCCTCCAAAATTGACACTTAGATTTCCTAGGAAACAGTAAGGATGAGTAATCACTCAGCCTTTGTGTGAGCACTTTAAGAATGGTGCATTCCCCATCTTTCAAGGAAGCTCATTCCTTTTTCAGATAAAGCTCTCATAGACTTGGCAAACAAGAGGTACGTGTGCTGACTCTCACATTCCCACACTGTGGCAAACATCACCAACTAATCACAGTGCTTTTGCCCACCAAGACTAGGTTGAGCTTCAGAATCATTCTCAACATTTTTTTTTCACTTGGATAGAGTTCAGTTTGCAGTCCCTGCCCCAGTTATTGGAAAGTTATTTCTTCTAGCCGCTTCTCCAGGCCTTGCACATATTGGCCTTCTGCATGGCCTCTGTGAGCACACAGGAGACTAATAGCCGAGGCAAAGATAGCTTCAGCCCTGGAAGTCCTGAGCCCATTCCTTGGACACAGGCTGGGAAAGGCAAAACCTGCAGGCGAGTGGGTTGGTATTGGGCAGTCCTAAGCCTGGATCCACAGCAAGAGCCAAATATTGGTAACAGGCATTTGTGAGGCGGTATGAAGTGTCTTCCCACTGGATTCTGAAAGCCAACATCTAGGACCAAGCCAAGGGGCCCCGAGGCCTCAGGATCCAGGCTGAGGGCAGGTCATGGCTGGAACCTCAGTCTCTGACTTCCAGTCCATTGAGTCCCCTAACAGAGCAGATTAGTTTTCTTGGAGAAAGCATTCAAATACTCTTCCCAATTTCATTTTGAAACCATGAAGAAGGCAGTTAACAGTTGACATAGAGGAATGTTGGGTCTATAGAAATGTAGGGTGATCCTTTCCAGCTTCCAGAAGAGTATGGGAGATTCAGTTGTGAACAAAGCCAAAATGGTTGTGATATTAGATTAGCACAAGTTTACTGTTAAATACTTAATAATATAAGACTTGCATGGCTTCAATCAGTTAAGCCTTCCAGAAATGGGTTTCCTGAGATGGTGATATCCTCCATTTAGATGATCTTGCTTTGGACAGAACTGTACAATGCGGAGGAAGAATCTGGTTCAGTCCCTCCATTCATCTTATTGTCAGTGACAGCTGGGTCAATGTTTTCCTCCTTGTTTGTTTTGTTCCTTTTGGCAAATGCCTGGCTGATTTCTGCATGGGTTCTGTTTTTGGTCTCAGGCAGGACAAAATACAAGTAGATAGCACCTGTGATACAAATTGTGGCGAAGACTAGGAAACAGTAGGTGTCCAGACTTTTCTGTGGAAAGACAGAGACAAAAAAACATCAAATAGACAATCAGTAAACTGGCTGCAAAACCATCTCTGAACAGAATTTTTTATAGCTCCCCATTCGTGTGTCAATTCTCCAGGAGAAAACAGCACATGCGTGATCTGGCTCTACACGGCTCCTCACTTGTGACACAGCGATGCATACCCACATATGGCCTTGAAGACGAAATGCGATCTATCCAGTTCTGCACGCAGCACCCCCCGCTCCCGCCCTTGCATGTGGGTGGGCACCTGAATTACTGAGTCCGAAGCAGAACCTCCAAACCTGCACCTGGTCCTGCCTTCCCCATCTTGGTTGGTGGCACCCCACCCTTCTGCTCACTTAGGCCAACCCAAACACTCAGAGGCCAGCCGAGCCCCTCTTCGTCTCTCGCACCCACATTGGCGCCAGCAGGAAGCCATGTGGCTCTGCCTTACAGATGTTCTGAATCAGAGCACGTGTCACCACTTCTATTGCTGCCGTTTGGGTGCAAGCCCCCACCACTTCCTGCTGGGGTTATTGCAATAGCTTGTCAACTGATTTCCATGCTTCTCACCTTGTCCCTTTAGGATTATTCTCCAGAGACAAACCAGAGTGATTCTTTAAACACAGGATAGAACTTGTTGCGCTTCTGCTCAAAACCCACCATGACTTTTTACGTCACCCCGAGCAAAGCCAAAGGCCTTACCACGCACAGCCTCCAAGGCTGCTGGCCACGTGGCCCCCTTACTTTTCTGCTCTCATGCTCCTCACTTTCTCTGCCAGCTACACTGCAGTCATGGTTCCCCCCAACACCATGCCTCAGGGGCTGTGCATGTGCCGCTCCCTCTTCCTGGGAGACTCCTCTTAAGACACCTGTGCGGCCTCTTTCTCATGCCCCTTCATTGTGGCATAAAGGTCACTTTCTCAGAGAGGTTCTTTCTGACCCCCATTTTTAAAGGATCCCCCAGCCCTGTTTCATTGCTCCTCAAAACACTCACTGCTATGCAAGACCACAGTCTATAGTTACCTGAGTTGACTCCCCCCCAGAGGGAGGTTAGCAATCTGAGAGCAGGAGCTGTCATTATTCTTAAGTTCCCAGAACCTGGCAAGTATCTGATGCATAGCAGATGCTCATAGCAGATGCATGAGTGGACTGAGGCTCAGAGCGGCTCCCTGCCCTACTGCAGTCCATGCATGGTGCTGACTGGGACCTCTCTGAGCTGTCACCTGCTTAAGCTTCCTTTCCCAGCACAACTGATGTGTGTCACTTGTGGGGGAAAAGAACAAACAAACCCAAAACTCAAATCTTCAGGCTCCTCTAAGCCCAGAGATTCAAACAAAACATCAGGGCCAGAACTGGACAAGGAGGATGGGATAATATGGACGCAGGAGCAAAACAGGTCTGGGGCTGTCCTCAGGCCTCCCTGGCTGGGGTCCAGAGCAGCTGAGGGATGTCTGTTGATACCTGCTGGAAATTTTGTGCCAGGTCTACCTGCGGGAGCGGGTGATGGAGCCTGCTTCCCAGGAGCGCCGGGAGGACACCGCAGGCTCCCAGGGACCTTTCATCGCCCCCACCCTGACACCACACCCCAGTGAGGAGTCACGAGAGACCGTGGAAAGAGCGGCTTTGGCGTGAGTCCTGACTGTGGCCTTGGACGTGTTTCAGAACCTCTCTAACCCCCAATTGTGTGACCTGCAACCTCAGTCTGGAAGTCTAGCCCAGGGGCTGGCAAACTTTTTCTGTAAAGGGTCACATGGTCTCTGCCAGGGTCGTTGGACTCTGCTCTTATTGTGCGGAAGCAACCACAGATGATGACGCATAAATGAATCTGAGTGGCTGTGTCCCAGTATAACTTTATTTACCAAAATAAGTAGTGTGCCAGAGTTTGTCCACCCCTGTCCAGTCCAGGGGACATTGCCCTTCCCTTACCTGGTGTCCCTCATCCTCCTGGCATCTTCCCAGTCTGTTCACCAAATGGCGTCCAAAGGGGTCTTTCAAAAACATTCCTTGATCATGCCAGTCCTCTGCTTAGAGCCCTTTAACCACCTCTCATTGTTCTGGGTTTAAGGCTGCCTTCCTGACCTTCCCTGAAGGCTGGGTGAGCTCTCCTCCGCCCTGCTTCATCCATGGTCCGGGTTCCCTGCTTTACTCCTGCTTCCTGCAGACGCAGGGCCTCTGCACTTGGAGTTCCCTCTTTCTTCACTCTTCACCTTGTCAATTCCTCTTCGTCTTTCTGGTCTCCGCCCTTGTTCTCCAGGCAGCCTGCCCTGCACCCAGACCAGCTCCCTCTACCATAATCTTTCCAGTTCTGTCTGCTTTCCTTGTGCATGGTCATCACATAGGTGTGTGACAGCTTGACCATGGGTGGTCCCCAGCCAGACTGTGTCCTCTGTGAGGGTAGCAGGGATTCTGTCTGGTTTTGCACATTGTTGAGCCCTGGTGCCCAGCACAGTGCGTAGGTGCTCAGTGGATATTTACAACAAGCGAATCAATCTATCGTCAAGGTTCCCTCTTGCTATGGACTGAATCAGGCCATCCCCGCCCTCGTTCACCTATTGAAACTCTAACCCTAGTGTGGCTGGGTTTGGAGACAGGGCTTTTAGGAGGTAATTAAGGTTAAACGAAGTCATAAGGTTGAGGTCCTAATCTCATATGATTGGTGGCCTAACAAGAGGAAGAGAGCACTCTCTCTTCACGAGCACATGCCAGAGGAAGGCCACGTGAGCACACAGAGAGAAGACGGCCATCCGCAAGCCAGGAAGAGCCCTCACCAGACACCAACCCTGCTAGCACCTCATTATGGACTTCCAGCCTCCAGGACTGTGAGGAGATACATTTTGGATGCTTAAGCTGCTCAATTCTGTTATGGCGGCCCGAGCTGACTGGCACACCTGTAGCCCTGGCATTCCATCACCTTATGACTATAAATAATTACAAATCCTCAGCCTCTGCTTTGAAATAAAAGATATAAAATTGAAATGAGCAAATTCAAATATTTTAAGTGCTATTGGGAATGGATAAGTCAAGAAGAAAGGACATTTTAAATGACTAATCTTTAGAATGCACACATGCTTTTAGGATCATGCTTTTCTTCTGTGGACCAGGGCTGGCCTTTGGCCTGTGGTGGGAGCTTCCCACGCGACTAACGTTAGTGCTGAGCTGTGTTTGCTGAGGACGCTGCACCAGACGTGCTGAGTTCTCTATGCTCAGGCTGTTAAACAGCTTGTCCAGGGCCTCCCATTGGCTGGTGTTAGATGCAGCTGGAATTCAGAGTCTGTGTTCTTAGCTCTTTGCAAACTGTGGCCAAACCTTGGAGACCTGGCACACCGGCTGTTTACACACACCTCTAGGATGCAGCTAGCTGACGGTGGGTGGTACACTGCCAGAATCCTCTGAAAGTCTGTGAATCGCCCTCCTCTCATACGTGAAAGCTGGTTTGGCTAGCATAGATTTCTAATTTCAAAATCTTTTCCTCTCGAGATTTCGAAGACAGCGCTCCTTACTCTTTCGGTAGAGTCTTGCCCTGGAGAAATATGATGTCCTCTGATTGTCATTTCTTTTCAGGTTATCTGATTTTTCTCTACAGAACTTTTAGGGTTTTCTTTAAAAACACCAGTGTTCTTGAATTCCACATCATTATGTCTAGGAAGGTACCCTTTGCACGCAATTTGCCTAGCATGAGGTGGGCCCACTCATACTGAGGACTTGTGTTTCTGCAGGTCTGGGACTTTCTCTTCTATTATTTCTCTGGTTATTCCAAGTGATGTGCTCTAGTCACCCCCTGCCCTCCCCACCCGGGTGACTTCTATCTTTCTCAGAGGCTCTGTGCTGCCTGTACCTTGGGCCAGGTTCCCTCCATCAGTTTATCTCATCTCTCTATCATTCAGAGGTGTCCCCAAATTTTGGGTACACCCAGGGGACTCCCTTCTTGAGTTCCAGCATGTGTTTTTCCCCTTTGTTTTGAGTCTATTTAGGATTTGGAGTGGTTGTCTTAGTCAACTCAGGTCTCCATAATGAAATACCATAGACTGGGCAGTTTGAGCAACAGGCATTGCTTTTCTCACAGTTCTGGAGGCAGAGATTCCAGGATCAAGATGCCAGGTAGTTCCCTGGTGAGGGCCACCTTCTGGCTTGCAAGGGCTGCCTTCTCAGTAGGTCGTCATATGGGAGAGAGAACTCTGGTCTTTCGTTTTCCTATAAGGATATGAATTCCATCATGAGGGCTCCACTCTCATGACCTCCCCTAAATCTCATTGGTTTCCGAAGTCTTCACCTCCAAATACCATCACATTGAGAGTTAGAGCTTCAACATATGAATTTTGGGGGAACAGAAATCCTCAATCCGTAGCCACAAGGAAGCAGGTTGGCATGCTCAGCCCTCACTCCACAGGCCCTTTGAACCAAATCTTGAGGGATGAGTGTTGCAGAGGCTGCAGGTGTTTTGCGCCTCCAGCTGATTGGTGGAGGAAGACACTAGAGTGGTAAGATCAGTGATACTGAACATCCCCAAAAGGCCGCCTCCCTCTCTGGGAACCTGATGTAGAACTACAGATCTCCTTTTCATGAAGAGAAGAGAGTTCATACACATGACATTTTCACACTGTTTCTGGCATGGGGATGTTTCATGGTCATGTTGAAGCCGGTTCGTGGGCCAGCTGGTGTGCACAGGCCCAGGTTGCCAGGCCTGCTGAGCCTGCAAGTTCCACGGTGGAGGATCCTTGTCCTCGGTGGAGGATCCTTGTCACTTGTGCTCCATCGTACCCCCGGCTGGTGTGCACAGGCCCAGGTTGCCAGGCCTGCTGAGCCTGCAAGTTCCACGGTGGAGGATCCTTGTCCTTGGTGGAGGATCCTTGTCCGTGGTGGAGGATCCTTGTACCACGTTCCTAAGCCACAGTCATGTGTGCACTTAGGGTCTTGTTGGAGCTGCCTGGGAACCTTTGAGGCAGACATAATCCTGTGAACGCCTGGTGGCATTTCAGCTCAGTATGACTTGCTGGGAGCCATA